CCCAGCACTCGGGAGGCAGAGGCAGGTGGATCTCTGTGAGTTCGAGGCCAGCCTGGTCTACAAAGGGAGTTCCAGGACAGGCTCCAAAGCTACAGAGAAATCCTGTTTCGAAAAACCAAAAAAAAAAAAAAAATGCATTTTCTCTAGCCGGGCGGTAGTGGCGCATGCCTTTAATCCCAGCACTCGAGGCAGAGGCAGGCGGATCTCTGTGAGTTCGAGGCCAGCCTGGTCTACAAGAGCTAGTTCCAGGAAAGGAACCAAAAGCTACGGAGAAACCCTGTCTCGAAAAATCAAAAAAAAAAAAAAAAAAAAGATTTTATAGTGGCCATGGCTTCTCATTTTTCTTCATGTATAATTTACTATTGTTACCTTCAGTTTATTGGATATTATTTGGCAGTACATTTCCAAGCAATCTTTAATATATTGGTTTCAAGATACATGCGTATAGGGTGTGAAATGAATTATTCAACCAACTCGTATGGTACAGGGCACCGGTGGGTCCTGATCCTCAAGGTTGCATGTGCCCTGTCCCGCCGTCCTTATCACTGAGTTCCCTGGGGGAAAGTTGTATTTAATAGGTTGGGGGTACTTACTGGGTGGTCCGTGTCCATCCACGGACCTTGTAGCTTTTGGCAGGCCATTGTCCTTGCCTGTCCCTTCTCACCTCCTCAGATTTTGGCCACTGGGAATCGGTTCCTGTTGTTTTACTTTTCATCAGCCCAGTGTGTCTTAATATAATTCCCCCCCCCCCCCGATGACTTTGGGGTATTTTTGCCTTCTGATGACAGTTTTCTGACTGACTTTTCCAAATAAGGATGTGTGCTGTCTGCAGCTCAGATCTTCCAGAAGCTTCCAGAGTGCTGACAAGTACATTTTCATAGCCGTGCACGAGAAGCCTCGGCAGTGGGGTGGCTTCGCAGGACAGTTCTTTGGGCTTCTTGGCCGCGGGAAGGCAAGACTTTTTGGGGGGGAGGGGGTAAGAAAACATGCCAGTTAGAGGCTCAGAAAATAAAAAGAAAAAAAAATTAGCTAAACTCTAGGAGTTTAAGAGCCTATGTGATCCTTGGAAGGTGCTCTGACAACCAGAGAACCAGGACCAAGAGCATAGGGTGACGTCCCAAAGCTGCTGTCCCTAGTATGAGCGTGTCAAACACCATCTGACTCTTCAGTCTGTCAGCACTGATCCGTCCGTCCCCCTTCCTCTCTGTCATTCAGCTCCTGGTGGTAGTGTTGTTAGCGTGGGCTGCTGTAACACAATGGCCCAGGCTGGGCAGCGAACACCGGAGCTTCTTAAACTCACAACCCCATATCTGGCAGGGCCCTCACTTGTCACCATGGGGCTTCACTGTTTCTTCATGCGGAACACGTGCTATGTGCACATTCACAGTGCGTGTCCTCACGCCCCCTGACACCAGAGGACGCTGCCTCAGACTCCGTGGATCAGGTTGTGTTGGGAATTTCAGGTTTCCTTTCTTTCTTTCTTTCTTTCTTTCTTTCTTTCTTTTTTCTGGAAAAGAAAATCGGCTCTTATGAGAGCATAATGGTTTAGTTACAGAAGTAAAAAATTTATGTTTTTTTTTTTTTTTAACCATCATTCCTCGGCATATTAGTTCACGTTAGCATAACTTAGGATTATATTGCGTTAAAATGTTTTCTTTTTAAAGATTGTTGTCTAAGTTGCTGACTCGGGTTTTATAAAATTTTTTTTTTGTTGTTGTTGAATTTGCCTTGAGATTAGGAGAGAAATTCCAGCCGTTTCTGAAAAGGCTCTAAATATACTTCTGCTTTTTTATTTTTACTACATATTCATGCCAAGTGGTGTTCTTAGCCTTGACAATCATGAAATCAAAATATTGATCAACTATGAAAAACGTTGAAGATGTTTTATATCCTGTACTGCCAACTACTCCGTCAAGATGTCGCTCTTGATGAGAAGTAAACAAGCGCGACACCACGTTAGAACGCAGGTTTGCCTTAGTCTTTAATAGACGGGAAAATTCTGTGTGTAGCAGAATTGTTTTTAGGTACGTTTCCTTATTGTTTATCACCGCTGAGTGTTTTATAGTCATACTCCGTATAGCTAGTGCATGAAAATTTGTCAGGCACAAAGATACCAGGAATAGAAAAAGCCTCCAGAAAGCCCTGACTTAACCAACAGATCTCTCAGTTTTGGAATCCCTGAGTCCAGGGTCATCCAGGGTAAGAGCGTTAGCAAGGCTGAGCCCTACCCAAGGCTCCTTGGCGGCCTTCGGAGGCTGCATCCTCGGAGGCTCATTCTAAGCACTCAGAAGAAGCACCGGTGTCTTTTTCTCTTAAGATGACATCAGTCCCATTATGGTGGCTCCACCCTAGGACTTCACCAGATCCGGTTATCTCCCAGAGACCTTATTTCCTCACACGTCACAGGATCTTAGGGGCTTCAGCATAGGAGCTGGGAGGGGACAAGGATGTAGCCATGACAGACGTGTAATGGACGACTTGGCATGGTGCCCGATTTTAAGTGCCCAATGAAGGGCATTTGCTAAGATCCTCCTTGTCCTTTTGAGCGGACCCAGGAAAGGGGAATTTTTCTGCGCTGCAGCTAAGAGGGAGTTGTAAGTCCTGGGCTCCTGCAGTTACTGTCTTCCATGTGGTGGTTTGGAAGAGAACCGTCTTCCATTGGTTCATATTTAAACACTTACTCCTCCGTTGTTGATGCTGTGTGAGGAGGTAATGTCATCTTTGGGAGGTGGAGCCTTGCTGGAGGAAGTGCTTTACTGGGGGCTGGCTGTGAGGGTTAATCACCCATTTCCCTCTCTGATTCCTCTGTGTAAATGGAACCATAACCAGCCAGGTTCCTGTTCCAGCCAGCACGCCTGGCCTTCCCCACTATTGTGGACTCTAGCCCTCTGGACTAGAGGCCAAAATAAACTTTTTTTCTCTCTCCTTGAGACAGGGTTTCTCTGTAGCTTTGTTACCTGCCTTGGAGTTCACTCTGTAGATCAAACCTTGAACTCACAGATCCACCTGTCCCTGCCTCCCGACTGCTGGGATTAAAGGCGCGCGCCACTACTGCCCAGCACAAAATAAACTCTTTAGGTTGTTTTTGTCACAGTCACAGGGGAGTAACTAGTACAGGTGAAGAGGAGGAAAAAGGCGACAGGTTCCAGCCAGGACACACTGTGTGACGGACAGGCTGGCCACTACCACCTTCTTCCTACATCTCAGCTCTGGACCGAGAACTAATAGAATCTTTGTTCCTGTAACCCTGGAAGGAGCAGACACTTCTCTCTCCTTCTGTGATGGTTCGCTTTCATTATCAACTCCACAAAACCCAGAATTACACAAGACAATCCTCAGTGGGGGATTGTCCGCATGGGGTTGGTTGTCCTAATTAAATTAGTTTGACCCTGCCTTTTCTAAAAACTGGAAAGGAAATCAAGCCAGTCCAGCTAGCATTTAGAGACCGTGCCTCAGCCCTCCTGGCTAGCCTTCATGATATTTTTGCCCATTTCAGTTACTGGTTTTCTTCTTCAGCCTCTCAGAGACTAAGACATAACTAGAGTTAGGGTGTGTTTTTTCCTCCCCTAAAATCTCTACAATAGCTGCAAGGCCTGGTACTCAGAGAGGGAGTTACTTCAGCTGGGAGCTGTGTTGAGTTAATGAAGTCAGCTTGCTGCTGCCTCGCCTCCTTGATTTGAGTTTTGTTTTGGTTTCAAGACACAGTTTCTCTGTGTAGCCCTTGCTGTCCTGGAACTCACTCTGTAGACCAGGCTGGTCTCAAACTCAGAGATCTACCTGCCTCTGACTCCCAAGTGCTAGAATTAAAGGCGTGCACCACTGTGGCCCACCAGGGGCGCTACAGCAAGCTACCTAAGATGACATGAGTGACAAACACAGGAGCCTCCTTCCAAAGTGACGCTGGAACAAAAGGACAAAGCTCACCTCAAGGCCAGGAGAACCCAGGAGGGTGCCCCACCCCCTGAGCTGAGACAGGAGAACCCAGGGGGTGCCCCATGCCCTGAGCTGAGCCCAGGAAGGCAGAGGACTCTCAGGAGACTCTAATGGTGTCAAGGGATGCAAAGGCTGGCCAGCTGGGCTCCGCCCCACACAATCATTAGCCACAGTTTCCCTTAGAAGCAGGAAGAGGTCTCTTGTGATGTTACTAACTGGCCCTAATGGGATGAATCCGCTGGGGGCTCCAAATCCACATAGTCAACCAACTGCATATTAAAAATATTTGAAAACAAATTATATGTGTAAAGAACATGTATGTGTCTAGAATATTTTTCTTATCACCACCTAAACAGTATGGTGTAGAACTGTTTATAGTATTTACATTTATACCAGCCATTATAAATAATCTAGAGATGATTCGAAATGTGCCAGGAGTTCATAGGTCATATGCAAATACTGCAGCATTTTATTTAAGAGACTTGAGCTTCCATGGATCCAGGAGATCCCATCCACAGACTCAGCGGTGACTGTATGGAATCTAGGCAGGTACACGAGCCAAGGCTACTTTGTAATAATAACTTAAGAGCTTTAAAATATTCCTAAGGCGTTGCTTTAATGGTATCAGGTTGTTAATAATATTGCACCCTAGATTATGTTTTCTCCATAAGAGCCTCTGCTTTTTTAATCTGACCTTTGAGAACACACGAATCAATTCCGGTAGTAGTTAAGAGTGTAATTAGGAAATTAGCCACATTCAGAGCTACGGTGTGTCTGTTTCTGAAACTTCCTGTGTTTGTCTTTCTGCCTTCTCTTCACCGTTAATTCATGGAAGCCGCCCACTTGGTGCCTTAAACAGAGTAACTGAGACCTGCTCCCCAGCGACAGTAATTAGAACATCAACTACCTCGGTACTTCAGAGACTCACCAAACACACACAACCTCAGTTAAATGTCACGGAGAGGGGTGTTGTTTTCTCTAGAGTCAAGTAGCTTCACCAGGAGGGACAAGTGCCAGCTGTCATGTGCGACCCCTGAGTAACAAAGCGACGCTTGCATCTTTTTCAGAGTTCCCTGAAGAGAAGAGGCAGCCGGGAAATGTACAAAGAGAAGAAAGCCGCTAGTCAGGTAAGCTGAGGTTTTCGTGCCAGGGCTCTATCCTGAAGAAGGAAGCCACCCCGTTCTGAAAATCCTCTTTGCCTTTAGGACGCTAAAAGAAACATCACCTGCCAAGTCACTGGATTTCGCCCAGTCTTCTCAGGGTGAACATTTTCTTACCACACACATCCTCAGCGCTGTCCTTTTGTCTCTCTCACTCTGAGAACCTGCAGGCTGGTTAGGAATGAGAACAACTGGCTTTTTGGGAAACTGTAGTGAGTTTAGTCCAGGGTCTGGCAGCTCTCCTAACTGCCAGAAAGTGGTGTGGCCTTCACAGCCATTCGCATGGTGTCATAATCCACTGGGTGGCTGGGTCATTTATATGTCATTATTTTGTGAATGTGTGTGCTTTTAATATGTAGCTGAACAATGCCTCACGTTTACTGGAAAGTAAAGCATTCCAGCAGGAAAACTGAGGAAGTTCGGTACTCTTTTATATCCAGGGTATGTATTCTTTAAGGCTGTCTGGCTCTTTTGAAGTTGCCTCTGGATTCCTTTTCTCTTTCTAAAATTGCTTTTCGTATTAGGCGTTTGAAGAGAACAAAGGTGTTATTGCTATAGTTTCAGCAGACTCTAAAATAGCAGGGCGTAATGAGAGGGACACAGTGAGTCAGGCTTACTAAGAGGCTTCAAGAGCCTGTATAGACCATAAATGGGAAACTCCCCGTTTCTGATTCCCTCAAGTATTAGTTACATTTCCATTGCTGTGATAAAAACACTATGACCAAGGCGACTTGCGGAAGGAAGAGTTTATTTGGACTCACGGTTCCAGAAGGACCAGAGTCCATCACCATCGAGGTAGTGGGAGCATAGCAGCAGGCAGGCAGGGTTGCTGGAGTAGCGAGCTGAGAGCTCACATCTCGAAGCTCAGGCAGGAAGTAGAGAGATCAAACGTGGATGACTGAAGGCCTTTACAGCCTGCCTCCGGTGGTGCACTTCCTCCTAAGCCTCACCAAGCAGTGTCACCAATCAGGGACCAAGTGTTCAAATGCTGGAGACTGTGGGGGACAGTCAAACTACCGCACCCTGGTTCCCGTGTCCCCAATAAAATCAGAGTCACTGGAGGACTCAGCACAAGCCTGATTTCTTTCATCCTCCCGCAAGTTCCCCCAGTGTCATTTGAGAATCCACTGATCACAGGAAAACTGAAGGCACCCACTGCTGGGTGTCTCTAGTATCCTGGGTTTAGAATGTGTCTCTTGCCCAGCAAAGGGCTTTTTCCTCAAAGTGCAGTTGCTGGCTGATGAAGCTGTCGGGCATAACTTGATAGGCACAGGAGCTGTAGATTCACATGTGCGTGTGCACAAGCAACCCATGCTGTGTGGAGTAGCTCCACGCAGTCTGCAGGGTGATTGAGAAAGGAGTTTCTATTCAGCAGAATGGTGGAATGGAACGCCCTGGGAACTGCAGGTCGGCAACCAAAACCCAAAGGAAGCCGGCACCAAGGCGTAAGGTAGGCACACGGGCAGCTGGCTGCTGGGGTGTGAGCTAGATGGCAGACTTGCAAGCCAGAGAATATATACCAGTAGCGATATATTTTTGTTGCTTGGCAAGCCTTTCCGGCCACTGGTGATGGTGCTGGTCCCCGTGCGTTTCGACCCCATGCCATGCTTGCCCCTTCTGCTCATAGTTGGAATAGTTTCCCTTGGAACGATGGGTCTGACATGTGCTTTCGTGCTGTGTCTGGAGCTAGCTATGGGCTCCTGAAACTCAAGCTTGTGACTCCAGTTTAGGATTCTACCTAGATCCCTCCGCTAGAGTCTTGGCAGAGTTCCGGAGACGTCTCTGGTTACGTGCTAATAACATAGCTGCCAGCTGTTTGAGCTGCTCCTCAGACCAGGCTGAGCTCAGCTTCCCTTGGGTAGAGGGACCCCTCCTTCTCTCTCCTGGGCCTCACAGAAGTAGTGTGGGTCCTGCTTCAATTACAGTGACATTGGGAAAGGGGACCAACTCCTTCACATCCTTCCTTCACCTATCAGGTTTCAAGGTTCTCTCTCACTCCCTCCGCTCCGCCCCCTGCTTTGGTTTTGGTGGCCGGTCCTGTAGTGTGCATGGGTGTTGGTAGAGTTGGCAACATGCTTCCTCGTTTGTCAGAGTGCCTGCTGTTTGTATAGTTGCTTTCTTCAAGGATAAGAAGAACGGACAGCGATGAATCCTCAGGTGGCCCGCAGACTGGACACCCTTCCAGCCCTTTGTGGAATCACTGCCGTGACTGTCCCTTGGTCTAGGCTTAAGATGGGGATGGTGGTGCTGGGGATGACGTGGAGGAGGAGGATGGAGATTAGTGTGGGGTCCATCCAGGTTTTCTAGAAGTGACTGCAGGGGTCAAGGACGCTCTGCTTGCATAAGCAGATGATGGTAGACACTTGTAAGCTTCCGTCTCAGAGCCTTCGGGGATTCCCCTTCCCCAGTCACTTGGTTCACCTCTGCCCCAGGAGAGATTGCAGAGAGACCCCGATCTAGGCTCCTGTTTCAAGGTGATTGCTTCCAGAGCCAGGCAGGACCCTCCCTGGCCCTCTGATGCCTCCCTGGCCCTCTGGTTTATGGAAGATGACCCTGTACCTCTCTTGGTCTGGCCTCTTTGAGCTGCAGGCAGGAAGCAGGCAGAGGATGAGATGGTGTCTGTGTTTGAATGGCATTCTCAACAGTCGTCCCCCTGAAGGGTTTGTCTGCACGGAGGTAGAATCAGGGTCACTTGGGCGGTTCTGGCCAGTGGGCACACTCTGGTTACCCAGTTAAAGATAGACTGAGTACTTCAAGTTCCTGCATGTAACTCCTAAAAGAATGTGGTTACAAAGTATTTACAGCCTGTCTCCATTGATAAGTACTGTAGCTTCCTTCAAGCAGAGACCTGTTAGTGTGTTTGGATTCTGCATGCACCTTAGTCTAGCAGGAAGCTGGGCAGCTGATTTTCATTGTTCTGCTTTAGAATGTTCTGAGAAATCCGGGCTGCTGAAAAATATGTGCCAGTCACTGCTGCTCAGCAGACATTCAAGAGACAGTGAAGGAATGAGCGAGGGAAAGAGCAGAAGTGCTTCCTTAGCATCAGGATTGAGTGTGTCCTTACAACTTGCATGAAGACCTGTCCGAGAAAGTCCTGTCCAATCCCACAATCTGTGAGCCCATTTTTGCCTAGTGGTTAAAAGAGTAGAGCAGCCAATCCTCGAGGTACACACCTTTAATCCCAGCAGTCAAGAGGCAGAGGCAAGTGGATCTCTGTGAGTTCAAGTCCAGCCTCGTCTACATAGAGAGTTCTAAGAGACCCAGGGCTACATAGAGAGACTCTGCCTCAGAAAACGAAACATGCAATCTGTCTTAAAAACTAAAGAAATATGGCGGGTACTCTTACTTTAGTCTTGAAACCCTTTTTTTTTTTTAAATTTAATTTTATTTATTTAATTTATTTTTTGTCTGCCTAACGAAGACTAAATCCTTGGGGTGGAAGTTCTCAGAGTTTGAAGACTGTGACGTGTGTAGATCACTCTCCACAGTGCTCAGAGGGTGTGTGTTGGGGAAGAGGCCCCTGAGGACAGCCATGGAGTGTATCACTCATAGATCATGCAAGGTCCCCAAGGGTGACTGCACGCCTTGCTTGCTGCAGTTTGGCGCTAGAGTTCTGCATCTTCCCGGTCACTCAGGTCGCCTTCCATGAGTTTGTGGTCAGGGAGACATGGGCAAGCAGCAAGCTGGAGGCACCAAGGAAGCCGTTTCTGTGTCTTTATACCAGATGGCTTTGTGCTGCCAGGATGTGGCAGGGCAGCTGCAGTTCTCTGAGACCAAGAATGTCATTAAAGCCGGCGGTGGTAGCGCACGCCTTTAATCCCAGCACTTGGGAGGCAGAGGCAGGCGGATCTCTGTGAGTTCGAGGCCAGCCTGGTCTCTACAAGAGCTAGTTCTAGGACAGGCTCTAAAGCTACAGAGAAACCCTGTCTCAAAAAACAAAACAAAACAAAAAAAACCAAAAAACAAACAAAAAAAGAATGTCATTAATCCTCCTGGATGGTGCGTCAGGGCAATCAGTCATGGATGGTGGGAGCACTGCAACCAGTCAGCCATGGGCGGAGTACTGCAACCAGTCAGGAATGGTGGAAGCACTGCAGCCAGTCAGCCATGGGGGAAGTATTGCAGTCAGTCAGGCATGGGGGAGCACAGCAGCCAGTCAGGCAGGGAGCACAGCAGCCAGTCAGCCATGGGGGGAGCACAGCAGCCAGTCAGCCATGGGGGGAGCACAGCAGCCAGTCAGGCATGGGGGAACACTGCAGCCAGTCAGGCATGGGGGAGCACAGCAGCCAGTCAGGCATTGGGGGAGTACAGCAGCCAGTCAGCCATGGAGGGAGCACAGCAGCCAGTCAGCCATGGAGGGAGCACAGCAGCCAGTCAGCCATGGAGGGAGCACAGCAGCCAGTCAGCCATGGAGGGAGCACAGCAGCCAGTCAGCCATGGAAGACTGACTTGTTCTATCACATGGGTGACAGCCTGGGCATCAGCAAGGCTCAGAGCTGGTGTCAGAACTTCCTTCACGTGATGAGGGGGCCCTTGCAGACATCACCCCTGCCCCCGTCAATCTTTTGGAATTTATGAGGCCAATCAAGCAGGGCTGCTTTGTGAACGTCACTGTTCTATCTACTGAACACAAAGAATAAGAGTTTCTTAAGGCCAAGGTAGTACAGATTGCTTCAAGGCCTGGGACCCAGGCTGAAAAGGCAGTTGACTTTCTTAACCTCTGTCAGGCAAGGGCCACGAGCACCTGCCTTGGCAGCTCTCTGAATTCTCTGGAACTCTGCTGAGAACCACTTCCCAGGTTTGAAAACCCTTAGCTTCTCTTTCTTTGGTCTCTGTGTTTAATTTCCCATAGTTACAGCAATTAGAACAGAGGTCGGAAGAAAAGGCCCTGAAGTGGTTCTCGTTCACTCGTAGGTGTTCTCAGTGTCTGTGTGTGTTCTTACGTAGGACCTCAGCTTTCAACACTCTGTGATGCCCGCTGTCTCCCTGTTCTGTCCTCGTGTCCCTCCGGGGGACTTGAGGAAGGAGACATACAAGGGGGAGATGAATTACCCCAGTTCATGCACCTCAGCTAGTCCGTGGAGAAGCTCGGCCCCAGCTTCACACTTGTCCAACCTCCCTGTCCTGGTGGAAGATTCCAGTCAGACACACGAGAGGTTTATAGTGGCCGCAGGGTGGATGTATATAGTCCCGGAGTCCCACTAGCTCTGCCACGAGCTTGGGTGAGGGATTTTGATGATTTTTTTTTTTTTCTGGGTCCTGATGGTGAACTGTATTGGCTCTACAAAGTTACCAGGGGCCACCATGTTACTGACATATGTTGTACTTCATTTAACTTTCTCCTTCTTCACATATAACTTGTGTGGCTTTTTTTATTTTATTTATTTATTTATTTATTTTTAGTTTTTTCAAGACAGGGTTTCGTTATAGTTTTGGCACCTGTCCTGGAACTAGCTCTTTTTTTTTTTTAAATATTTATTGATTTATTATGTATACAATATTCTGTCTGTGTGTATGCGTGAAGGCCAGAAGAGGGCACCAGACCTCATCACAGATGGTTGTGAGCCACCATGTGGTTGCTGGGAATTGAACTCAGGACCTTTGGAAGAGCAGGCAATGCTCTTAACCTCTGAGCCATCTCTCCAGCCCCCTGGAACTAGCTCTTGTAGACCAGGCTGACCTCGAACTCACAGAGATCCACCTGCCTCCTGAATTCTGGGATTAAAGGCACGCGCCACCACCGCCCGGCTACTTGTATGGCTTTTATGTTCATGGTTCCCCCCCAGAACTATCAGTTCAGTTTCTTGACAAAACAGCAAATCATGGGTTTTCCCTGGGGCCTGATCTGCAAAGGCTCTGGGCTCATTGCTGCTTTGTCACGGCTCCTGTCTCTCCAGAAGACAACAGCACCAACAGGAAGAAGGACATTCGTGAATGCGTGTGTGCTTGCCTGTGTGCATGCATGCATGCATGCATGCGCGCCTCTGTGTGTGTGTGTGTGTGTGTGTGTGTGTGTGTGTGTGTGTGTGTTGGGGTTGAGGTGTGAGGGATCAGAAGACACGCGTTCAATACTTTCAGATAACCCTCCCTCGGGCTGTTCTTGCCTGGCAGGATGACAGCGCGGATCTGAAATGCCAGCTTCAGTTTGCCAAAGAGGAAGCCTCCCTCATGCGCAAGAAGATGGCCAAGCTAGGCCGGGAAAAGGACGAGTTGGAGCAGGAACTGCAGAAGTACAAGTCCCTCTACGGTGACGTGGACAGCCCCCTCCCCACAGGGGAGGCAGGTGGGCCCCCCAGTACCCGGGAAGCAGAGCTGAAGCTGCGGCTGAAGCTGGTGGAGGAGGAAGCCAACATCTTGGGCCGGAAGATCGTGGAACTGGAGGTGGAAAACCGTGGCCTCAAAGCAGAGATGGAGGACATGCGGGTTCAGCACGAGCGGGAGGGGACAGGCAGGGACCACATGCCAAGCATTCCTACCTCACCCTTCGGGGACTCGCCGGAGTCCTCCACGGAGCTCCGCAGGCACCTGCAGTTTGTGGAGGAAGAAGCCGAGCTGCTGAGGAGGTCCATATCCGAGATCGAGGACCACAATCGGCAGCTGACCCACGAGCTGAGCAAGCTCAAGTTTGAGCCTCACCAGGAGTCATCAGGGTGGCTCGGGGATGGTGTAGCTAAGGGTCCCGGGTCGAGCGTTCCCCTGCAGGAGGAGCTGAAGTCAGCCAGGCTGCAGATCGATGAGCTGAGCGGGAAGGTGCTGAAGCTGCAGTTTGAGAACCGGCTGCTGCTGTCCAACGTCCAGCGGTGCGACCTCGCTGCACACCTGGGGCTGCGTGCACCGAGTCCTCGAGACAGTGACGCGGATAGCGATGCCGGCAAGAAGGAGAGTGATGGGGAGGAGTGCCGCTTGCCGCAGCCAAAGCGAGAAGGCCCCGTCGGTGGCGAGAGTGACTCAGAGGACATCTGTGAGAAGACCTCAGGGTTTGGGAGTGGGAAGCCTTCAGAGGCGAGTGAGCCGTGCCCAGCAGAACTCTTCAGAGTCCGGGAGGACACCGAGTGCCTGGTGACCATAAAGCAGGAGGCCCAGCGGCTTGAGCGGACAGTGGAGCGCCTCATCGCCGACACAGACAATTTCATCCATGATTCAGGCCCACGGGGCAGGGGATTGGCCTCACCTGGGGTCCAAGGTGAAGGTGAGGGCAGCCAGAACGAGCCCCACTTGTTGGAGACCATCAACATGAAGATGAAGGCTTTCAGGAAGGAGCTGCAAGCCTTCCTGGAACAGATGACCCGGATGGTGGACGGTCTGTCGCCCTTATCCCACCTCACAGAGTCATCCAGCTTCCTCTCCACCGTGACTTCTGTGTCCCGGGACTCCCCCATCGGGACCCTGGGGAAGGAGCTGGGCCCAGACTTGCAGGTAAGGGGGCTTGCGACTTCGCCTCCCTGCTCGGTCTCGTTCTTCCTCCTTCTCGCTGGCATTGCTGCTCTGGTGCTCGCACTGCTCACGGCTGCTTGGTTTTGATTTCAGACCTGCATTGTACTAAAGCCTCGGCGTCAAACAAACCTCTCTTGGTTGGTTTCATTTTTTTTTTCCCTTCCTTTTAATTTTGTTTTGTAAGTTCCTTTTCGTCTCCTTGTTCCTTCCCCTGTTCACTTTTAATTGCACTGCGATTCCTGGTTTAGAGGGCCTTCTGTGACCAGGCTAAGCCCAGGGGAGGCGCTAGGGACCGATGCAGCCTTCCATTGTTCATTGTTCCCTCCTTGGTGTCTCAACCTAACCAGCCACCCTGACGAAGAAGCTCTGAGGAGTTTAAGACAAAGCACAATCCGGTCACAGTCAGGACACTTAGACTCAGTAACAAGCATCTGCCCCCCTCTGGGTTTATTGCCAGAGGGACCAGTGCAGTTCTGAGAAGTCTCAGACAACCCAGCCCCCACCTACTCCCTCTGGAAGATAACCCAGGATGGGGGAGAGGAGCTGGTTCTGAAAAGGCTGGTTTTGATGGAAAACCCCGCTGCCACTCGCTCCTGCCACCTTCCCTCGCCGCCCAGGGTGAGAGCCAAGGGGAGCAGCCCTGCAAGGACCCACTTTCCCAGGCTTCGCCTTGGGTGCATGGCCCAGCTGCCACCCTGGACTGTGGCTTTGGCTGCTCAGCAAGTAAGGAAGGCAGAGCCTCTTCCCTATGTCCTTCATGGGTAGTGTGCTTGTGTCCCCATTGCATGCGTCTCAGAACCTCTCCCTCCACCCCGCTTTCCGTGTTAGCGCATCCTTTCGCTCATGCTCTGTTTGTTTCAAGTGTTTTAAGTTGATCCTATTCATTCATGCTTTACTCTGGTAGTTTTTTTTTTCCCCATTGTCTGCCGACTTTTGTTTTTACCCCCCACTCCTTACCTTCCCCTTTGTCTTTCGTTCCTTTTTTTTTTTTTTAAATTCAAAACAAAATAAATCTCACCCTCTTCGTGCACTTAACAGTCCAAATTGAGAGACCAACTGGAGTGGCAGCTCAGTCAGGATCCAGGGGACGAGAGAGAGGGCCTGCGCCTCCGAGCCACTCGGGAACTGCACCGGCGTGCTGATGGGGATCCCGGGAGCCTTGGGCTGGGAGGACAGAGCTGTCTCGGCCTAGAGGTAAGTAAGCTGCTGGGTTCACTGAGTCTTCTTGCCTTCTGTCTCCCCCGCCCCCTTCTCATTGGGTGTCTCAATGTGAAATTTCCTACCCATGGCAATGCTCCGAGGTAATGTTAACAGGAGGATGTGGAACCCAGTAGAACCTTCTTGAATCAACATCTTTGCATTGAATAACTAGGGAGTGTATGTAGTTGTGTGTGGTTAACTTGTGTAACACGAGTTCTAATTGGTCTAGATGAAAAACTCAGAGTCAGCCGTAGGGGTGAAAGCTGAGGAACCAGAGAAGCAGAGTGGCCAGCCACTAGAGTTCTCTTACCTCTACCAATGCTCAGACCAAAAGGGTGGCCCTCTCCCTATGAATCCTTGGACTGCATCCGTCTCTGTGAATCTTTAGACTGCACCCGGCTCTATGAATTATTAGACTGCCTGAGCTCCTGGCTCTTCCCGCCTAATATTCCTCTTTCCACCCAGCCGTATCACTCCCCTATCCCTAGTGCTGGGATTAAAGGCCTGGGATCCCAAGTGCTGGGATTACCTTTGTGTGAGCTCTGTTTCTCTTTAAGATTTGATCTTGTGTAGCCCAGGGTGGCCTTGAACTTGAGTACTGGGCTTAAAGGTGTGTGCCCCCATTGCCTGGCCTCTAAGGCTAACTTGTGGCTTAGCTCTGCCCTCTGATTTTCAGGCAAGCTTTGTAATTGCATAAACAAAATATCACCACAGACTTGCAACTCTCCCGTCAGCTGGAGTGAAGGCTAACTGGAGTATGACCCCCCCCCACACACACACCAATAGATCCGTGGGTGCCTGGAGGTGTGATGAGACATATACCGCAGTGACAAATGAACATTTGGTGGCTTCCTGTCCCACAGCAGAGAAAGCAGGGATGGAAACCAGGCAGGGTCCTTCCTGGTTCGGAGAAAGCTCCTCAAGCTTCTCTCTTCAGTACTTCATTGCTTATGTTGTATGAGCTGCCCTCATGGTGGCTGGAAACATTCTTCCAGCCTGTGGGCAGGATCAGGGATGTTTTCTTTCTACCTGCAGTTTTCCTCAGGCTTCTCCGTTGCCATGGTAACCCAGGGTGCAGTGTCAAAGCTACCTGCACAGTTCCTGTCCTGTTGAAAGTGGACTACACGCCCATACAGAAGGGGGCTTCTGAGTCACCAGTAACTCCCAGGACAGAAAGGGCTGGGGAGGGCATCAGAGTGGGGTTGGACGTCTAGAGCAACAGGTTCCCCACCGGAAAAGGACCAGAACTTCTGAGGCATTGAAGATTCTGTATGTCTTCATCTCTGCGAAGCCTTTACCAATCAGCTCTGAGGCCTGGGAGCGGCTCCCATGTGTCAGGGCAGAAGGAAAAGTTCAGATGGTAATAGCCGAAAGCAAGCAAGCTCACCTGTGGAAAAGTTTGGCTGGGTAGGTTGGAAAAGGAGCCCATAGCTGGGCAAAGGGACACAGTGTCCTGAGGTAGGGGCTGCTTATGCCGCCACCAGAGGTAGTCACAGCCAGAAGAGACCAAACATCTTTGGTTTGGGGATCTGTTTGCCCCAACACACACACACACACACACACACACACACACACACACACACACACACACACCATGTGAGAGAATGCATCTCATCTTTACCCTCGTTGTGTGCATACACAGACAAACATACTCACTTATACACATGCGTGCACATACACATACATGTGAAAGAATGCATCGCATCATTACCCCTTTGGCTGGACACGTGAAGGCATGTGTATCATCTCAGAAGCATAGAAATCAGAAAGCGTTAAACATCCTGTGTAATCCCACTGCCCCTTGCTAACTTCAGATGCCAGGTCACCTGTGAAGGTGGTACCTAGGTTTAGGCCCCCGAGGGAATTACGTGTGGACTTCCGGGGGTGTGACAGGAAAAGGCCCCTCCTCTTGGAGAGCTGAGTATACACTGGTGCTAACTTACCAGAAGCAAGCAGGATCACGAAACACCTGTGGGGAGAGCCCGCGGGCGGGGGGGGGGGGGGGGCAGAGAGTGGCGGGGGTAAAGCAAACACAAGCACTTCCTTTTTGTCATGCTGGGGTTGAACCCAGGGCCTTGTGCACGCTAACCAGTTCCTCTACCATGAGCCACACCCTGGTCCCCGTGTAGACACTGGTTGGGAGTGAGGCCTGGCAGGCAGCTGGGGTGTGCCCTCATGGCAGTTGTCTCTGCCCCCTCTTGCATTGCCCTTTAAATAACCACAGAGTCTGTGCTCAGGCCAACTTGTACCCTTGTGTAAAACTCCTTGAGCTCTCTGTCCTTGGGTCTTAGAGGCAAGAGGGGTTGGGGACGCCGATGGGCAAGAACTCTGGCATTTAAATGGAAGTGTTTTTTAAGGGATAGGCTTCTCCAGCCCCATTCTTTGAGGCATCTTCTGTGGTTTTTGGACTTCGGAGTTCTGTTGTTTAGGCTGGGGGACAAAGGGCAAGTCGCTACTTTGGGAGATCGTTTTGTTGTTGTTTGGGTTATTTTTGTTTTTGCCCAGGTTTAAGCTGTGGTCACTACTAATAACACTAATGGCAGCATTGCTAACAGCGAGGAGGGAAAGGAAAGTTCACTCTATGCAGACAGCAAGCAGGCGTAATATAGATGGCCTGCTGTTGGCACGCCACACTTCACCAAACCTAGGACAGCGTGCTCTAAGGTAGAAGTCGGAACCCCTCTCACCTGCTAACTCCCTGATGCAAATGCACAGAAGTTAGCAGCCAGGAGAACTTACGGACAACCAGACTTAGAAAGATCGACATTCCTGTTGCCTGTTCACCCCAGGATGTACTGGCAGGAGGCTCCCTGTGGGCTCTGGGCTCCCCCCCGCTGACTTTGCCCCTGTGTTTCCCATTAAGCGTGCCAAGAGATTCGCTCGTATAGGAGCACGCATCGTATAGGACGTTTCACGTGGAATGTGCAGGGCACCTTAAAAATAGTGCTGAGTGAGACGTGGCCAAGCATGGGCACCGGTCGGGTTTCATACATCAATGAAACCAAGCCTGAGCCAGAGGATTGAGTTTCTGGGTCAGATCTCGCTCGCTCCTCCTCTTTATCCTGTAATCGCTGAAGCGCACAGCATCTGTGGTCCTTCAGGCCTCAGCTGTGAAATACCAGTCCCGGGAAAACTGCGCGGTGGGGTTCGTGCCAAGTATTTGTGCATGTGTGGACCTCATCTGCCAAGTCTGAAAAGTGGCCAGGACAAAACGGAATGCACCAGAAGTGAAGTCATGGTCCTGGAGTAGTTGCGGGGTTCCACCGTCTTCGCGGTTCCTGGGTGGTGGAGGGCCGCAGGGAAAAAGCATTCTCCCTTTGCTTATTGTGATAGCGATGCCATCTTGTTAAGCCCGGGGCTAATTTATAAGCAGCTTTATCTGGACCTGGTCAAAAAGTTAGCAGTGCGGGTGAGCCAGAGTGGATGGTGGGTGTCAGAATGCTGATGGGAGGGAGGTTTGATTTCAAGGTTAGTGTCTTGGCAGCCACAGAACAGGTAGGTTCTAGTGTTTAAATAGACTGACTTAATAGAAAAAAAAAATCAGGGTGATGTCATTTGTTGTTGTGCTCAAAATAGGTAAATGAGCACAGGGCAGTGTTTACATTCAAACCGTGGGGACTTGGTGATAAAGCATGTATTTTGCCACAGGAACTTTGTGTTGCGTGCCAATGTTCCCTCCATGTATGTGATTGTTTGCACTTGTGTGGCAGTAGAACCACTCTGGAAAGAATTTCCGACACGGCATGTTTGTGTTTGGTTCTTTGTAACACTGGAGTGACCGCAAGTGTTCTAGTACTTCACTAGCAAAAGGAAACTTGAAAGTGGGTGTGGTCTACACAGCCGGTCCGGGGTCCTCCGTAAGAAATTGTTGCCCCAGGTGAATACCCTCAGATGACCTCAAGGGCTCTCCCTGTGACCTTGCACTAGGGTGGCTCAAACAGAAAGGCCCGCTGTCAGTCAGGTGTTGCCGATGAATGAGGCTTAGCTCTTTATAATTATTTTAAATATTTACTAAGATTAAAACTAAAGTATATGAGTGAACATATCTGAACTGAACAACAAACTATCTCAACGCCTGAAACTTTCGAATATCCACATAACTCCATAAATAGAAAACTCCATACCATGCAGCATCACACACAGAATTATTAAAAAATGTATAAAATTGTGTTAAGACTTTGTATAAGGTGCATATAAAGCGTAAGTGAATTTTGTATTTAGTCTGGGTGCTGTTCCCAAGGTATCATATGATATACTTTTCATAACAGCGAACTTGATGAGAATGTCTGATTGTGTCTTAGCAACACAGCGCTTTGTCTGCTAAGACTCTGAAATCGAGAGTGTTCACATTTCAAACCCATAATGGGTAAACTAGAAAGTAAAGTTGGCAGGAAGCACCCAGGTCCCCTGAAACAACCCTGTAGAAATACCTGAGCTGCAGAATCTTCCCTGGTGTGACCCCAGTGCTGTAGGTGGTGCCCAGAATCGTAAATACCTGGATCCCCTGCAGAAAATGTGAGGCACAGCAGGGCTGGAGAGATGCCTCAGCAGTTCCGAGCACTTGCCCCTCTTCCAGAGAGCCAGAGTTTGCTTCCCAGCACCCACACCCAGCAGCTCTCAGGCAAGTATAATGCCGCTTCCAGAGGCTCTGGCACCCTCTTCTGGCCTCTGCAGGCACCTTCATATACAGGCGCACATAAATTCACACAAGCACATAAACAAAAATACATAATTTAAAAAAAAATATATATATATAATCTATTTCAATAGTGAGTTCTCAGGTATCTTCTAGAGCCAGAACTCACTCCAGTTGGACAGAGAGCAGTATCCGGCCTTTAGACGTGTGACTTTGGATAGTAGTTGCCAGGGGTGGTGACCCTTGACTTCAGTAGTTCCAAAGGAACAGGAGACACGGTGTTGATCCAGACCATTGGCAGAGAATGACAACAGTGAGCAGGAAAAACATTTGCCTACAGGTTGGTAGGTAGAAGTGAGGCAACAGGAACCTGTCTACCAGCACAGGTGTGGGACTGAGAGGAAAAAGAACTATGGCTGACCTTACCCAGGACCAAGATTTGAACTTAGGTTACCCATTTGTTCTAAGAGTCACCAAGGATTATGTCTAAAATGATGTCTTTGGCAAGCACAAGTCAACTTGTAATCACACCCACACTGCCAACTATGTTATATGCACAATCACTAAATAAATACCCACTGAGGATGAGCTCACAGTGCGGAACTTCAAACACACGGTTAGAAAAATGTCCACCATCTAGAGCAGGCAAATAAACCTGCAGCCACGTCCGTACAGACAGTCCGAACTAAACTGCATGGATTATATGAGGACAAAAATGACATGAACGTGGGAAGTGTGGGAAGAAGAGAAGGTGGGAGGGAATGGAGGAGAGCAGGTGGCAAATATGAACAAAATGCATCATATATACCTATAGGAAACAGACGAAGGGTTTTATTTATAAAGATACCAAACTTCAAAATGAAATAGAATACGAGGAAGTGAAAGAGTAGGAGTCTGCAGAGATCTTCAGATAACAAACGGGGTTATCAGATGGACAATAAACAGGGTGTTGAGCGCTGCTCCAGGCAGGCATAAGGGAAGAGTAAGTTGTTGTTACCCAAGTCGGCACATAGTTTAAAAGTAGTTAAGCCAGTAGCATTGAAGTTAGTCATCATGATAAATTCGAGGAAATCCCACAACACTGTCCAACAACTCACAGACCAGAGTAACTTTTCATGATCCCCATTCTTGAGTTTCTTAAAGTTGGATGAGTTTAAGTATTTAATGTTGGGGAGAACTCAGGGCCCCGCACTTGCTGGGCGAGTGCTTAGCCACTGAGTACACCCCCATCTTCTGTTTTTGGAGACAAGGTTTCACTATGGAACCCTGGCTATGCAAGAACTCTGCCTCCCAAGTGTTGGGATTAAAGGCACGCACTACCATGTCCAGTGAGTTTAAATCTTCTGGAACTCTAAAGTTTACTGCAAAGTTGTCAAACCCCCAGTGTCTAGCTTTCTCTGCCTTGGCGCTGCCTTTTGAGGTCTGTATTTTCTGTCCTTGGCGAGTGGTCTTCACCCAATGACAAGCCGAGTAACACCAACATCCAGAATAGTTTCCTCACTGAGAAGTAGAAGTTAGTTAAAGGCAGACAAAAGGAGCTAGAGAGATAACATGTTTTTATTATAACAGTCCACCCTAGGTCCAAGTTTTTAAAACCACCTACCCCAGCCAGGTGTAGTGGTATACTCCTTTGAGAGGCAGAAGAAGGATCTCTGTGAATTCAAGACCAGCCTGGAATATATACAGAGTTCAAGGACAGCCTGAACTACATAGCGACCCTGTCCTGTTTTCGCTTTTTAAATTATCTACCTTTAATTAGCACAAGCTAACTGGGTAAACATTTTGCTTAAATTTCAATGGTGCCTGAGATTTTAATAAACCGTTCTTTCAAAAGTCCTCACCAGTCTCTTTCATGGCCATTTGATTACAACGTGTAAGCTTTATCAATAAGAATAATAGTATAGCTCCCTTGACCTCTCCCTAGGTTGGAGTGCAGTAAGTATTAATGAGATCCTTGGGGTTCCTGGACACGGTGTGACACAGAAAGCCTTAAGAGCAGGTGTCTATCTTAGAAGGAGCCACACCCACTCTTGAGTGACCAGGGCCATGCTGTGGGATTAAAGGCACCCTTGGAAAAATCCCCAGTATAGTATGCAAGCCTATGGCCAGATTAGTCGGACCCCCTAGGAAGACCCCATTGGCTCAGGGATGTGAATCCCAGAGGCTGAGTGTGTGATAGTGGCCAAGTTGGACTGAGATGTCATCACCAAGTCCTACTTGAATGTTACGAACCACCTAGAAGCCCCTGTGGGTAGCAGAGAGCCTTCTTGTACACCCTGGCTTTTTACCACAGCTAGTTTATGGTTGTCTCATCTCCCTTGTAAAGAAAGATACAGGGAAGTTCAGAGAGCCACTGGGCCCAGAGCAGCAGGGCTCCCCTGTGAGAACCCCTGGGGGGGGGGGTTGGTGGTCACTCCACTGCTGCAGCCGCCGAGCTGTGTTCCCTGTGTGTGTCACCTCGTCCGGATGTGTGTCCTGCGTCACCACCTGAGGCAGAGTTCTCTCTTCCACTAAACCCTTCCTTTATCCTGCCAATCAGCTCAGGGGCTCCCCCGTTTTACCCGAGCAGAGTGTGTCGCTAGAAGAGCTACAGGGTCAGCTCGCCCAGGCGGCCAGACTGCATCAAGAGGAGACAGAGACATACACAAACAAGATCCGTAAGGTAAATATTTCATGAGGATCCCCAGCACATCCGCTCCCAGTGCCTCGGGAGCAATGCCACGATGCCTCCTAAAATAATGCTGTCTGTCTGTTGCATGCAGGTGCCAAGACCCACAGGCGTATAGACAGGTCATTCGGTGGAGAGGCTCCCTCTTATATGCACCAGTGCAAACTGTCCACCTAGGTACTCTGCAGCACTTGTTTCAGTAATGTTGACTCCCCTAAGCCACGGAGAAGCCATGCTAGGACAGTCCAGAGATGCCTGGAGCCACAGAGAGTACCAAAGCTCTCACGGGCTGTTTATTCCTGTATTGTTAACTTGTAGATCATGCACCGTAGGGATGAACAGGGATAACTAAACCATTATAACAATATCGTGCAGTAAACATTTAAGACGGATGAATCAACTATTTGGGGGAATTTCCTAGTTAATATTTTTGGACTGCAATTAGCCCACCGATGACAAACTACAGAAAACAAGACCTTGGATAGGGAGAAATGTGGTTTCAGGAAAATCTCCAGGTGGGCAGTGATGCCCACCAGTAAACTAACACGAAACAAGGGCTTTAAATGAGACTAGTCCGTGTGTCTGTCACCGTGAAGGGAGCTGTCCAATAGAAACACCGACTAACCCTAGTGTCGCCTTCAAAAACCAGCTACTAATTGAGCTATGACCTGATTAGCTTGTAGTTATTTTTAAAATTACGTATTACAAACTAATTATCCCTTTTATCCACTAGGGGCTTCCCAGATCCAGGTGCTCCTGCCCTGGGCCTCCAAGAACACTGCCCTGCCACCTTGCATCTCATTAAGTTGTGAACTGTATCTAGATGCAGAATTGCCACGGTTGTTCTCCCCTGTGCTCATTCTTAGAAGAGAGCCGTAGCTTCGAAAGGAAGCAAAGCAGAGCCCTTGGCATCGAGTAATGTACCTTGATGCTCCAAAAACACATATGCTATGCAAAATGAGTCATTCGGTACATCCAAGGTTTGTTTTGGCTGGGAATGTGTGCTGTGGGCATATACCTCCATGGCGATTGGACCGAGAGGCTCTAAGCGGGTCATGGGCTGATTAAGGGAGCGTCTGCTCTACCCTGCAGCTTAGAATGTGCAGAGTTGGATGCCAGACTCTTCGGTGTCTCCTCCTGTGTCTTCCCCAGCTGCACACTCCTTTCGGAACAGTTCCTGTAGAAGTAAAGCTTCGCATATCATCACCAAAGGGTTACATAAGAGGGACATCTACCCCCCACCCCCCATGCACATATATGCACTCACATGCAGCCGTTTTCATGGCCTCAAAAATGCTTTGAGAAGTGAGGTCATCACTGGAGACGCTGGTGACACAGTAGCGGAGTCCCATTGTGGGCTTATGATAAAGGAGTAGGTTGGAAAGCCTTCAAGGGAGGAGGCGTTCTCTTTTAGGTGTTAGAAAGGGAAAGGACAGAGGACAAAAGGCCAGGCTCTGAGCTCTTCAGGCCCTCAGTGAACACTCAAAAGAAAGCAGATGGGAAAGTATGGACGGAGGTCCTCAGGTCGCCTAGGGTCTGGACAGGTGCTGCCAGGAGTCAGTTGAGCGCCTCAGAGCCCAGCTCCCTGAACCTTGACCTTTCCTCAGCAGCGGGGAAGTAGTTACCATTGTCTTCGCAGCCACTGAGGTGATCAGTCGGGGACAGAGCAGTGAGGAGCTGCAGAGCTGGGTTGCCAGTGCACCAGGCTGTCTCCCACTCTGTGCCGTCACGACCTTCTGGGCATAACCAGCATGGCCACTCCGAGGACTGTTGAGCGGGTGTTTCCTCTTCCAGCTCGAAATCCAGTGTAGAACAGATGCTAGGTCCCTGCATAGCCATGTGGACCTTCTCAAGGGTATCAGCCCTCATTTAGCACACCGGCCGTATTGCTGTCTCCACCAGGCAGCTGTAGTTGTAATCCTGTGGTTCTTGAGGATTAATCTAGTACCTTATGAGGATAAGCACACTTCCTTAGCTTTTGGTCTAAGCATTAAGTCGGAAGGTAGTGGTAGGGCTGCCATTCTGACCCTCATTTTGCTCTGATTCAGAAGCCGTTGGTTTCCTGTATCACTTCCACAACAATAAAGGTTATCCCTGCGTCTTTATCTGGACAGTAAGATTTTATTTGCACCTTTTGCTTAGTACTGACACAGGAATTGCTTCCTGCTTAGAAGAGCTCCGTATGGATATTTAAAAAAAGAAAATTAAAAAAACCTTAGCCAGGTGTGGTGGCATATGTCTGTGGTTCAAGTGTTATAGCTACGTTTTAGGGTGAAGCGTGAGATTTGCTTTCAACCCAAGAGAGCAGTCTGAGGGCCGTAGTGAGACCCCGTCTAAGAAAAGAAAAAGCAGAGGAACTTAATGCAGAGATGGAGATGGGTAATTCTTGAGTGAAGTTTTTGTTTCCCTGAGTGGGGAACACATTTAATGAGCACGCTAAAGTCTGGAAACCTGTCATCACGTTTGCCCAGTGGTGTACGCAGTTGAGTCCTGCGTGCTCAGGACGAGTTCTTTCTGAGACACCCACTCTAATTCTGCAGCGCATAGTGGCCCTGCCGCTGTCTCAGTGTTCTCTACCAGGGCTCAAGAGGAGCCAGAAACCTCAGGAAGAGGTGGGTTTCTTATTCTTCCCTGCTATAGTAATGAGCCCTTGTGTGCCAAGCACAGGCATAGAGGAGAGATGGGGTCTCCTTAAATGGCATCTGAGTCCATCGCAAGCCGTACATCCAAATAGCATTTTTCCTGGTCGGGGGTTGGAGATAATCTAAAAGCGTGGAGAGAGGCTGACAGTGAAGATGGTTACAGAGCCTTCCTTTGAAATAGCACCTGCTTCCAAATCACACAATTCATGGTTTTGTACATCCGGGTGTCACTGGTGTTTCACGTCCCCTGTGTACCACTGAGGTTGCACAGAGGCTGCTCTTGAGAACCTTGGTCAGGCTGGGGTGGCGCGTTGGCGCAGCCTCTCGTCACAGCTGCTTCTTGATTCTGTTTCAAGATGGAGGAGGACCACCTCTACGCCTTGCGGTGGAAAGAGCTGGAGATGCACAGCCTGGCCCTGCAGAACACCCTTCACAAGCGAACCTGGAGCGACGAGAAGAATCGGCTGCAGCAAGAGCTCCGGTCCTTGAAGCAGAACATTTTCCTTTTCTATGTCAAGCTCAGGTGGCTGCTGAAACACTGGCGCCAAGGGAAGCAGATGGAGGAAGGAGGAGAGGATTTCGCGGAGGTAGGGCCGCCCGCCCGCCCGCCCGCCCGCGCAGCCCGCTTAATTTGCATCTGCTTTATTCTGGACACGCCCACACCACTGTCTCACCCATTGTGTCTTCTCGTTTTTTTACTTATCTTTTGCTATCAATCCAAGCCATGGAAACCGGGTCCTATCCAGGCAGGCATGAAAAACGACCAAGTGTTGGACTTGGACTTGGTCTTTGATTCCCCTCTGGAATAGTTTTGCTCATATCCCCTTTGCTGTGGGTGGATATAAATCTTTAAAGGCTAAATAGTCATCACCCCGAGGTCTTCACTGTCTCATTTGAACTCAGTGGTTTATAAAAGCAGGTGCACAAATGTGTCCCGCCCATTCCCCCAGCTTTGTAAGGCTCCCTTCTGGGCCTCACCTGGGTCCCTTTGTCACCTCTGACATTTGTATATGTTGACCCCTTGTGTCTCAATTCCTAGATTTAGAGAGCAGGGTTTGTTGCTTTCTATTTCGTTTTGTTTGTTTGGTATACGAGTGTCTTGCCTGCCTGTATGTCTTGTGCACCATGTGTGTGGCTGGTACCCGGGGCCTGCAGAACCCAGAAGGGAGTGTAAGATCTGCCTGGATCTGGAGTTATAGGTGATTGTGAGCTGTCATGTGGGTGCTGGGAACTCAACCCAAGTCCCTCTCTGTGCAAGAGCTGCCAGTCTTCTTAGCCCCTGAGCCTCCTGCCCCTTAGGTTTTTGTTTTTGAAACAGGATCTTTCTGTGTGGTGTAGGCTGGCTTTGAACAGAAGTTCTTATACCTCAGCCTCCAGACTGCTGCGATTGCAGTTGTGGGTCACTGACCAACCCTTTACAGCACAAGTCAGACTGCCTCGTGGCCTTGCATGTCCTGTCCCCAGTCTTGTTCTCTGTCAAAGTACAGTGACACACAGCACGGGCGTCCAGTGCAGCCACACTAGCTGCTAACCCAGCTGCTCCTGCATTGTGAGCAGTTGGAGCCCCTGAGCTGCTGAAGCCTTTTGCCTGTTTTTAACTCTAGTGAACACTGTGTGACATTTTAAGTTACCCCGTGAATGGTAATTCTCTCTCCTCAGATTGAAGAACATCTTTAAGAATTATTTCAACCAGGTTCCCAGGGTCTGTCCTATGGAGCAACATGGTGAAGCCAAACCTAGATGTGGTTCTGAGGTTTCTTGTTGATAATACACTGGGATTCCTCCTCCTGTCATCTATAAAACTGCCTCTGTGAGCAGTCATAACTTACAAAGAATAAAACTGCATTAATCTTTTCTAATAAATGGAGCATCTTTGCTGTTTACGTGAAAGAAGTGCAGTGAGTGAGACTAGCATCTTGGGGAGAAGTCTGGGGACCAGATCACCTGCAGGTGAGGGCTTACCTGAGGAAAAGTCTGGGGACCAGATCACCTGTAGGTGAGGGCTTACCTGAGGAAGAGTCTGGGGACCAGATCACCTGCAGGTGAGGGCTTACCTGAGGAAAAGTCTGGGGACCAGATCACCTGCAGGTGAGGGCTTACCTGAGGAGAAGTCTGGGGACCAGATCACCTGCAGGTGAGGGCTTACCTGAGGAAGAGTCTGAGGACCAGATCACCTGCAGGTGAGGGCTTACCTGAGGAAGAGTCTGAGGACCAGATCACCTGCAGGTGAGGGCTTACCTGAGGAGAAGTCTGGGGATCAGATCACCTGCAGGTGAGGGCTTACCTGAGGAAGAGTCTGGGGACCAGATCACCTGCAGGTGAGGGCTTACCTGAGGAGAAGTCTGGGGACCAGATCACCTGCAGGTGAGGGCTTACCTGAGGAGAAGTCTGGGGACCAGATCACCTGCAGGCCACACAGAGTTGCAGTGTGAGGAGGAGGCTCATGTGAGACCAGGAGTTTGGTCTCACACAGAGGTTGGTCATGGCTACTCCCACAATGAGACTCTGTCTCAGGGGAAAAGTCACTCTGTAGAACAAAAGGTTGTAAGCCAAGTTATGATCTTGTGTGCTTCTTTCAGAGCGAACATCCAGAGAATGTGCCTGGGTTTGCTGAGCTCAGTGTCCAGGGCGGTCACCAGACAGATGGAGCAGACCAAGACGATGCTGAGCGAGGCTGCGGCCTTCCCGTGGGAGAGCATGCTCCACGCTCTCCAGTACAGATCAGTGAACACGGATCACGGCTGCAGACTGCAGATGGGGGACCACTCAACAGGCAGGTGGGTGCCTAGCTCTAAGCCTAGCCTTCTGTACACAGAAGGAAACTAGTTGGCCATGTCTCTTGTCATCTTATTCAAATGTTGAAGTTCCTGGGTACAGAAAAGACCTCCACTGTCTTAACCGCCTGTCTGTGTCGGGGGTAAGGTTGGACTGTTCATCCTTGCTCATCTATTCATTTACTTGACCCCAACCTCAGGACCAGTGTAAGGTCAAACCCATTCAAACCCATTGAGTATGTGCCCCCTTGGCTCCAGAAAATTGATCTCAGAAGGAAGATACTCATTAGACAGACTTTTAAGAAGAGAGAATACTCTTTTTTTTTTTTTTTTTGGTTTTTCGAGACAGGGTTTCTCTGTGGCTTTGGAGCCTGTCCTGGAACTAGCTCTCTAGACCAGGCTGGTCTCGAACTCACAGAGATCCGCCTACCTCTGCCTCCCGAGTGCTGGGATTAAAGGCGTGCGCCACCATCGCCCGGCTAGAGAATACTCTTTTTTATCATAGCCAGGGAACAACCTTACAGGACTTGTTGGTTGTCATTGCCAACAGGACTGTGTTGGCAGCATAGTTTATAAGGAAAAATAAAGAAGTATTTGTTCAAATTCCCATCGTGTACAAAGTATTTCACATTTTTCTTTGACCACTTAAAACACACATCCAAATGAAAATACATGGTAATACTTTGGGAAAATAGCATTTGTGGAAAGAGGAGAGGGGGGTTTGAACATCGCTAAATGTTTGGTGTCAGTGATACTACAGACAAACCCTGAAAACCAGTTCCCCCCGCAAACCCACTATTGGTGACATAAATCTTATTATTTTTACTTATTTATTTACTTTGCATTCCTATAACAAAGTGCAGCTGTATTTCATTTGGAGACTTGAGATCCTGAGGTAGCTCCCCCAGTACTTTCTGCGCCTACAGAAAGCCCGGGGTCCCCAGGCTGGCTGCCTGCTTGCTGGTGGAAGGGTACAGGTTTGGCACTGGGCACGGCCCAGCCTTCCAGCCACAGCCATTCCGGATTCCTCGTGCAGTGTGTCCAGCAGCTGCTGCTTCTCGCCTGTCCCCTCTGCCCAAAGTGGTGCGGGTCAAGTGGGAGATGGCTGTCACCAGGCCTCAGTACGGATTCCAGCGAGAAAGCGATGCCTTTGTAGAGCGGCTAAGGGGAGACGACTTTCTCTTCACACACAAATCCGAACAGTTGTCTGTACCCCACCCACCTTCGTTTTCCCTGAACAATGTGACTCAGGCTGGAGATAATAACTTTCAAAGGAGCCTCTCCTCGGAGTCATCAGGAAGTGCGTCAGCATGCCAGAATCCCTGGGGAGAGTTGAGGTCATGGAATAAGTTTTCCAGCAGTGATCTAGTTAGAAACTAGAACATTACAGATTATGAACAAAGCTTTAAAATGTATTGAAGTGAGGCATCCTCGGTTAGACCTCTGCAGTGTCTGTGATTGGCCCCCATCAGTAGACAGACCTGCCACAACTGAGATCCCGTGACGGGCATTTCCCAGGTGTGCATCCCAACGCTTTGGGAGAAAAGATGCAACATGGCTGGTTTTCTAAACAGTCGTGGAAAATGTTACCCCGGGGTGAGAAATACTGAAAAGGCCCTCAGCCGGAGCCACCCACCAGTGCTTGAATGTTCTTCTCCCCTTGCCTTCTGTGGTTACTCTTAAAAGTGGGACAGACAGACATGGGAGATTCCACTGCGAACAGCATGCTGGAGGATGGGCTGATGGGGGAGTGCGCATGTCAGAACCAGGTCTGCAGCTCACTGAATCTGCCAGCCCGCCACAGTCATGAAAGCAAATGTGTGCACAGTGGCATTCGGAAGAGGACAGGAGATTAAAGAGCCCTACTGTAAGCGACAGCTGGCTCACTGAGGGCGAACATTCTCCGCTAGAAAGATTCACCTCTCTGGGAGTGGTGCGGTTATTGGCTGGGCAGCCTGGATGCAGGAGCCGTTCCATGTGTCTTTGTCTTAAAGCGCTTCTGAGTAGAACCGTGGCCCCCGACAAAGCCCTGAGAACCTCAGGGAGTGTTAAGTCGCATGGGAAACAAGGCCAATCGGCTTTCCCAAGGATGAAGGAGCAAGTGATAAAATGTAACAAAACTTCTCGGGCCCAGTCTTGGATTTGTATCTTACTGAGCATTCTCACAGTGCGGTGCTGTAGATGGCTACATTTGTCATAGCCAGAGAAGTTAAAAAATATCAACTGTACCGACCCACACTGAGTCAGATCAGAAGCAAAATTCGTCAGGTTGGCAAACTTCGGTAGTGCCCACGTTCCGGCCTCCTGTCTTTAGTTACACAGTCCCATGGCACTGACCTTAAACACAGTCTGCACTTTCATTCTCTCCTTGCTGCTGGGTCAAGCCGAGGCTGAGCAGGGGAGAACTGGCTGTATGGTTCACATCGGCTGGGTATGCATTTCCTACTCTCCTTAGTCATCCCTGAGACCAAGGCCTGAAACAGAGGTGATTCACGTTGCCAGTGCTGGGACCCTGTGGCTAGAGAGAAAACAGCTTGCTTTACTGGCATGAGAGTAGTTATTTAAATAAAGTTACTCTGACATTCAGAGGTATGACTGAATTCAGAGGTATACTGTGGATGTGGAGCTCCTAACATAAGATTCACAGCAATAGCTTAAGAAGTGTGGTTTAACATTAATCTCTAAGGCCTCATTCATCTGGTTCCCAAGAGTCCTTGGTCCCCAGTCCAGCCACAGTGTTAGAACCTTCAGGGCCTTCTTCCCTCCACTGACAGGCTTTAACTAATCCTAGCACTCGAAGCCTTGTGTTCTAGCTGTCCATGCTGCCTCTCTATTTTCCCTCCAAGATAAAGAAACGTCTAGAAAGAGCACTTCTAATAGATGAGATTAGCATGTCAAGACTGCCACCATGGACCACCACTCTGTTTAGGTGGCGTCCCTTCCACAAGGGAGGTGCGGGGTTCCTGGTGCTCTTCAACAGTGCTTCAGTGGTCCCCTGTGTTTGAGCGCCCACCCTGGTTTCTCAGCTTGTGAGCTGGTAATTCTCCGTCTAATCTGCTTAACAGGGGCCTCTTGAAGAGGCCCCTCCCCCACCTGATTGCATTCTTGGGGGACTCGTGGGTAGACACAGAACCCTCCTGGCCATGAGCCCCTGGGACATTCCCTGCTGGAAGGTAAATAAATGATTTCTGCCCGAAAGTGAACATCGTTCCTGAGAACTCCCACCCTAGAATACACCTCCAAGGCCCGTCTTCGGGGGCCCATTCTTTCATCTGCAGAAAGATAATGGGTTCAGAAAAGCATGTTGAATTTCTTCTCAGCGTGACAATGAAGGCCGGAGTGACAAATGGTTTCATTAGGAGAATGCGGCTGATACGCAGATCTGTCATTTGAAGGTCTTGTTTGTGTTCCCTACCAATGGGAGGAGGCAGGACTGCCTGGAATTGATCTGTTTGCTTTTTTGAACACCACAAAAGCTCCCTCCCCTATTGTCTTTGTCGAATGGAAACTGGCCTGCATGGGTCAGGTAATCAGGGCAGCTCCCTCAACATTGCAGAACCCCCCCTGTGTTGTGAATAGCTGAAATAAATAGGAATAGCTGAAACAATAAAAGGCCATCCCCTCTGTTTTGTGACTGGCCTTTTGTGTTTTGCCACACAGTGACAGGTCAGTATTTTCCATTCACCTTTAGATTAAGCCCATTTCCAGAGGTAATGGAGGACTCAGAGGTGAGCCAGACTAACTTCATGGTGGCTTCCTGTTCCCATACGTACAATTTCATGTGACTTGTACATCTCTGAAATCTCAGAGCCTGGAAAAGTGGCTGGCATTGCATCCCACATATCTTGGTCTGTGACCTTAGCCATACCCCTGCTTCACTTGCTCTGAATGTACCACAGGTTCACTGGGCAATCTGGGGCCCGAAGGGCAGCCTTGAACCTGTCGTAAAGTGTGACCTGTGAGCACAGACCTTCATTTTGCATTTTTGAAGTGTCCCGCCCAAGAGAGATGAGCTGTGAAAGACTGGAATGCCATCAATTAAAGGAACAGGAAATAGTAGAGCCATTGGTATCAACCAACCAGTTTGAGGAGATTTGGGAAATCGTGTTTTTGTTTTGTTTTATTTAACTTAACCTGTGCTGAAATGTATAAGCCAAAAAGCTACATAGCTAGGCTATGGCATGAAAGGGTTAAAAAAAAAACAACTCTTGTGTCCAAATGACTTTTCAGATCAAGAAATCTTTATGTATCAAAGTCATGCGTATATAGCCCTGAGTGGCCTTGAACTCACAGAGACCCTCCTAGGATTGATCCATTGTCCTTTTACCTTGCTTTGGGTCACCTTTTTACTCCGGAATCTATCCCAGCAAAAGGCATCAGAAAAGACATAAGAATGGTGACTTTTGGTGGCTCCAATGTTATTATTTCCCTTGATAAAGGAGACAACAGTTTCTCAGAGGTGGGATGGCTCCCCCAACAAAATGAAAAGAAAATAACTGGGCACATTGTAATGAGACATTTTAAATGTTTCTGCCTTGGGTTGTCTGTCCATGGTGGAGACAAACCTAAGTTATAGTCTAGAGAGTGGGACCCTGGCATACCTGTTTGTCCTGAGCTTTAGTTCTTCCTCTATAAAATGCATGAAGATTGATAGGATATAAGAGTCATATAGATGAATAAGTTAGCACACATCCTAGCCCGTAAGAAATGGTAAGTAGGGACTAGAGAGATGGCTTAGCGGTTAAGAGCTACCCTGCTCCTCCAGAGAATTCAGGTCCAATTCCCAGTCTTCACATGGTGGCTCACAACCATCTATGAACTATGCATGTGGTGCATCAACATATATGCAGGCTAAACACACATACACGTAAAATACATAAATAAAATGTCTAAAGAAATGATAAGTAGCGGTGACTTATCATTACTGGATTTATGTGCCTGCATAAAAGACATTTAGAAGACCCATGCCCACCTGTGGCATAAGTGTTGTGTGTTCATGGCAGAAGCTGTCCTGGCTTCCTGCCACCCACACAGGGCTCTTGGGTGATAATGATAGCAAGGTTTGCTTGCTCTCATGGCCACCTTCCCCCTGGAGTCATTTGGAGCTCATTCTCTGGTAATAAATACTGTCCTGGGATCATAGGGTATTATGTTGGTGACTCGAACCCAAATGTGCATAGAAATACTTAGGCTTAATTTTTATCCGATCCAATATCTGCTCATGCCAAAAAGTGCCCACTTTGCTTCCAGAGGAAGCAAATTTTCAATCGGCAAAGAGGCTGCAAAACCTTGATTTTAAGGTCCTTAGTGGTCCCGTGACACAGGGGCTGAACCATCACATGATTCTAATGTTATTAGTAGTCCTGTGGTACAGGGCTGAGCCATCACAGACCAAGCCGTTATATGATGTGGGGTTCACGGAGAAGTATTGACTCTGTGTATTACATACTTCACTGCAGTTTCTTCCATGTGAATGGAATGACTGCCCCAAAGACTAGATCAAAATTATTATGGTTATTTTTCGCTTATATTTCATTTGATTCAAAAGGTAGTGATTTTTAAAAAAAACATTTATTTACCTTTATGTGCATTTTGTATGAAGGTGTCTGATTCCCCAGAGCTGGAATTATAGACAGTTGTGAGCTGCCATGTGGGTGCTGGGAATTGAACCCTGCCCTCTGGAAATGCTCTTAACCTCTGAGCCATCTTTCCAGCCCAAAGGTAGTGATTTTTATTTAAGGATTTAAAGGCAAAAATAAATCTCCCAGGAAACATAGTCTTTAGAAAATCCTATGTAAAAATGAGGGTTTTTTTTTCTTATGCTGATGAGTAATTTGCCTGCAAATATATCTACACCGTGTGCATGTTCTACTCAGGCACACCAGAAGAGGGTGCTGGATCCCTAGAATTGAAGTTACAGGTGGTTGTGAGCCACCCTGTGGTTGCTGGGGATCAAACCCTGGACCACTGGAAGAGCAAACAGTGCTCTTTACCCTTGAGCCATCCCCGCATCCTTCTGAAGATGCGCATTTCTGAAAGGACCATTGCAGCGGCTCTTCTTACCCAGATGCCCTCATGTTTACACTTAGGTCTTCTGTGGGTACCTCTGATGTGGAGTTTTTCCTGTTCATGAGTCTCCATCACCGTGAGGACTGGGGAAGCATAGTCACATAGGTGGAGTCACTGTAGAACTTAAAGTTTCCTATCTGCCAAAGTTTTCAAACCCACTCTTAAGTCTTTTGTCACCAGTAAATACTAGTGTAGAGTATTTAATTCAGACAAACTTTCTCCCCCCCCCCCCTTCAGTTCCTAGAGACAGAATCTTACTGCATAGCCCAGGCTGGCCTGGAACTTGCAATCCTTCGGTCTTACTCTCCCCATGCTGGGGTTATAGGTGCTGCGTGTGAGCCTTTGTGATACAATGCCCATGCCAGCACTCACTAGAACATAAATCAGAGTTTTGAAGTGTGCCTTCAAAGACTGGGCAGGGTCTGGAGTCTGATTGCTTTTATGTGAAGCACAAACAGTAATAAGGGCAGAGTTGTGTCTTGGAATCCGCAAACGCCTGTGAGTAAGGTGAGCATTATTTCCCCTCAGGCTTTAATTAGGGACTCTCAGAAGCTCCCTCCCTCTCTGCCTTGCTTGTCTTTGTCCTAGTCTCTGAGTTACCAGAAGTCAAAGAGTGACTGCCCAGTGTCTCCCAGAGTTCGTAGGCTGGCAGCGATTACTTCTAGTTCAGTAGCTTGCACTGGAGCGATGGGTACCACAACAGCCAGCCCAACTCAGAGCACAGGGTGTCTGAAGTCCCGCAGCGTCGCCCGACAGACTGGCTTCAAGGGCTCCCAGTGGCCTTTGACAACTTCTTGATTCTAAACTAACCCTCAGGCTTGAGAGCACCCATGCCTTAGGTGCCCACAGCACCAGTCCATGGTTCAGCCTCTGAACACACCTGCTCAGGGGCCTTGGCCTCAGGAGGCCTCTGGCCAGAGAGGGGACCATCTTGGCCATTGTTCGGTGATTGTAGACCCCACCCACAGGTGCCTTCTGCAGGGACCCTGGAAGGCGCTGCAGCCCCGACTGACTGAGACACTCCTAAGTGAGGTTCCCTTGGCTCTGTTCCCACAGGTGGCGGAAAATCAGCAGCTGTTCAGGGCCCTTAAGGCCCTGCTGGAGGACTTCCGCTCGGAGCTGCGGGAAGATGAGCATGCGCGGCTCCGGCTGCAGCAGCAGTACGCCAGCGACAAGGCTGCCTGGGACGTGGAGTGGGCTGTACTTAAGTGCCGTCTGGAGCAGGTACCCGCCCCTTGGGCCGCCTCCCTCCTGAACACTGTCCCCCTCTTCCCTGTCCAGCAACCCTTGTGGACTAGGTTGGGGCAGGGAGAGGAGCGGGTCTTGAGGCTGTCCTTGAAGGGCCTCACCTCCTAAGTCCCGTATTTCACGATAGTCTCCCTCCCGAGGGTGAATACATCTTCACCAGTGGTATTTCCTTGTGCTGTCTGCTCCCTCGGTGCTAAACAAGAATGTCGATGAACCCTGTTGAAGGACTGGCAGCATGAAGCTGTCGCCATGTGAAGCTGTCTATTTTGAACCACAGGAAACCAGAGTAGAGGTGTTTGTTTTTGTTTTCGTTATATTTCTTTTTGAGACAAGGTCTCACTGTGTAGCCCTGGCTGGACAGGAACTTGCTGTGTAGACCAGGCTGGATTAGAACTTGCTATGTAGACCAGGCTAGCCTCACCTGCTTCTCTGCTTCCCAAACGCTGAGATAAAAGGTGTGCGCCTTCGCACTGACTCCAGACTGGTTCTGTCCCCTCTGAGATAAGACAACAGGTGGCTGCCCTTTAGAATTTTGGAAATAATTGAAAAGAGTTTCCATGCATGGCTTGGAAACCTTGTCAAGTCAAATGTCCCTTTTATATCAAAGAAACCGAGGCCCAGAAGGGGCAGCGTGCTTCAGATCTGAGTCAGGGCTTGCATGGGGAGAGCCCAGATGACCCACCTCTAGTGAGGATTTACATTCAGCCTGGGGAGTGTGGCTCCACCCATAGGGAGCAGCAGCCTTTGCTGAGCTGTTTCTCTGGGTGTCCCCCGCACAGTGTCTGCTGCTCCAGGGTGCTGTCAGGTCAGAAGGCAGGAACAAGGCCTGTGTGTGGCATGTATCTTCTAGCCTTTGTATTGAGGCAAACTATAAAGTAATTAAAACTTTATACGGATTGGCTCAGTCATGAAAGGAAAAAGTCCCCTAAGAAGGAGCTACCTTGTAAACAGGCTCAGTTGTGATAAAAGATGAAAAGAGCCTGTCACCCTGAAGAAAATAGCTCTCCTAGGACTCCCCATGTTCACTGTTCTGCCACATGACCTCCAGGTACCCCTCAAGATCACTTGCACCACCACCTGACCCAGGATACCTCCCTAGCTTACCTGCATCACCACTGACCCCTGGCACCCCTCAGGTTCACCTGTTCTGTGGCATGAACTTAGGGACCTCCAAGTTCACCTGTACTGCCACCGACCCTGGGCACCCTGCTGCCATCTGCCACCAGATTCCACAAGCTCACCTGCTCTGTCTTCTGAGGTTTAAGGCTCATATCTTTGAAGAGGCAGGAACAGAGTCAGGCCCAACCTAGGAAATGATAGAACTGTGGCCCTGTTTTGGTTCCTGGCTGCTCAGGAGAGGGCTTCTTACCAGATGCTCTGTTCATCCCGGTGTCCTGTCTGCCAGGAGCCACAGGGGAGAAGTGTGCAAGGATGCTCTTCCAGGAGGAGCCATTAAGTCCCTTCAGAAGTATGCAGGGGATCGTGTGGGTAAGAAGGAAGACATACATGTTGATGCGAGCCACTTTCAAACATTGTATGTTTGTCTCAGAGGAGCCTGAAATCCACCAGTGTGTTGGCTGCAATTAAAGCCTCAGGGGAGAACAGAGCCTTCCTTGCCAGGAAACAAGCTAGGACCTCAAGTTCAGAAGCCAGGTAGTACCACAGCGGGTTCATCCTCTGCCCCGCCTGCTCAGGACATTTCTTCAACATACACATCCCAGGGTCAGCTTGGCCTTCTGCTTAAATACAAATCAAAAACCCAGATATTTTCAGTGGAGCCCAAATCTCTATTTTTTTTCTCTCCCAAACTAAGACCTTGCTCTAAATACTGAGGATCCAGCAATACATGGGACAGACAACCTTTGCTTAGCTGGGCTTGGTGGCATATACCTGTAGAAAAACTGAGGCAGGGGGAATCCCAAGTCTGAGGTCATGCTTGGTAACAAACAGGAACCAATTTCAAAATAAAATCACTTGCCTTGCCTGTGTGAGGCCCATGGCAGCATTTCTGTATAGCGGAAACCAAAGCAAGACACAGCCTTTCTAGTCTGCTGAGTCAATCCCTTAAGACCTAGCACAGGCTGCTAGGCTCTCAGAAGAAAAAACTCCCCTGCAGACAGGCCAGCCTGATGGAGGAAAGGAGTTTTATAGTGATATCTGCTGTGTTCATAGTACGTGTTTTGGACAGATCAAGTGTTGGTCCCATGTTCCTTCTGTTTAAAGAGTCTCCCCGGTCGGTCTGAAGGACAGGTCTCCTGGCAAGGGTTGGGTTTTGTTGTTATAGTGTGTTTTCATTTCTCTGTGTTAGGATGCCTTCAGTTTTGAAATTTAGAATTTTATTGTCTTAGGCAGGTCTCTCTTCTGATAAAACAGCACGACCTAAAGCAACTTGGGGAGGAAAGAATTAATTTCGGCCCACGCTTCTCTATCACTGTCTGTCATTGAAAAGAAGACAGGGCAGAAAGTCAGGGCAGGAACCCGGAGAGTGGAGCTGATGCAGAAGCCATGGGGGAGAGCTGCTTCCTGGGCTGCTCCTCATGGCTTGCTCAGCCTGCTTTCCTGTAGAACCCAGGACCACCAGCCTAGCTATGGCGCTACCCACTATGGGCTGTGCCCTCCCCTCCTCCATCAATTATCAACCATAACAATACCATGCATACTTGCTTGCAGGCCATTCCTAAAGAGGCCTCTTCTTAATTAAGATTTCCTCTTCCAAGAACTCTTTCGGTTTCTGCCAGGTTGACAAGAGCCAACCAACCAGCACATTTATCCCGTTTGCATTTCTGCCTCCGCTGCTTAGAGGTGCCCATCGTTACCTGCCCCGCATAGTTTCTGAGGAGAAGTCTGGTGTGCTCCCTGAGCACCACGTGCAGTGATCGATGGTTCTAGGAACCAAGAGCACTTAGGATGCTTCGTGGGCGCCCAGAGGAAGGAAGCCCTACATGCACACCCTAGTGCCCCTGCCTTTGCATAATACTGTTTCTCTCTGCTTTCTACCGGTTTCCTCTTTGGTAGTTCTCTGGTTTCTACATTTCACCCCTGGGTCTTTGAGAAATGTTTATTAAAGAATACTGGGTTCCATTGTTGTCCCACATCAGGGCCAAAGATACTGGACCAAGGGAGCATGGTAGCACCTACAAAGAGCTGTAGAGGCAGAAGACAGAGTGACCGAGACTGAGAGGGAGGTAGACCCAAGGAGTCTGTTAGAGCGGTGCTCAACAATCTAGGAGATTTTATATCCGACATTCTAAATTCTGGCCTTAAAAATGAAATTTGCTTCGTTTTCCCATGAAATCAGACTGGCTTGGCAGCTTTCTTTCTGCCTCCAATGCTGGATTTCAGAGAGGGTAGCCCTGAGTCTTGTCTTCTTTGGCAGCTGGAAGAGAAGGCTGAGAAAAGCTTGGGAGAGCTCGACTCCTCCGCGGAGGGCAAAGGGGCCTTGAAGAAGGAAAGAGAGGTCCACCAGAAGCTGCTGGCCGACAGCCACGGCCTGGTCATGGACCTGCGTTGGCAGATCCATCACCGGGAGAAGAACTGGAACCGAGAGAAGGTGGAGCTGCTGGAGCGTCTGGACAGCGAGCGGCAGGAGTGGGGGCGACAGAAAGAGGAACTCCTGTGGCGGGTGGAGCAGGTAGGTGTGCCGCAGCTCCAGAGTGGGCGGCAGCTGCACCGGAGCAAGCAGCATGCAGACAGCTCATGGCCCTGGGAGCCAGGGGACCTCAGAAAGAAGCTTGCTGCTGTCACCTGCCTTCTGTTGAGGGCATGCAGAGGAAGAGTGAGACAGGCTAGGTTTCCTGTGGCAGAGTTCTTCTCCAGTGCTCCACGTGTTAGTTATTTTGGTGCACCAGAATACCCGTGAGATCAACTTAAAAGGCGTGGTTCGCGTCAGTCAATGGTGCAGGGTGGCTGGAGCACATGGTAGAGGCGCTCCTTCATCTGTGCTGGACGGGCAGCAGAGAGCAATACAGGAGGACTGGGCAAGCTGTAGCTCCAAGGGCACAGCCCCAGGGACCAACTTCTTCCAACTACACCCCCACCTCTTGTCTTCTACTATCTTCCCATAATGCCATCGTCTTTGAATTTGTCTAGGAATTCATTGATTTATTAGGTCAGAGCCCACAGGATGTAGTGGCCACTGCAAACATACCCTCGTCAAGGTTACTAATCTAGACTTTTCTCAACCCAGTGAAGTTGACAGTTCAAGGTGAATTATCATACTCTTACATCACACACACCTTTTCATTGCAGAGTTTGTAGGCGATCTGCCTTTGTACGCGTGTACAGGGACTGGGAAGGATTTTTTTTTTTTTTTAAAGGGATTTGACTTGGAAGGGGAGGTTATTTCAGGTCATCCTCAGAAAGTTCTGCTCCTGTGTAAGCTAACACTTAGGATGCCCCAGAAGACCCGGTCATGGCGCTGGCTGCAGCCTGAATGGACTCATCACCATTAGTGAGGTAATTACCAAATTGAGTTAGAAGTCATTGTTTGCTGGCTGGGGACTGCGCCTGCTGGGGGTTTTGCTGAGCTGTGATTAGATGGAAACAGAATCCAGGGAGGTGTCTGGTAGCTCATCACCTCCCGATAAACAAACTCTGATGGATGCTGGGAGAGCAGAGGAAGCTGATTTCCTGCTGCCTGGCTAATCCTTCCCTGCATTGCATGCCTTCGGTGCGGTTTGTGTAGCTGCAGCTGGCCCAGAGTGGTGTGGAAATTCAGAAGGTTTTTTCTTCATGCTGAGAAGAGGGTGTTGAATTTCTTACTACCCCTACAGATACCTTGCCTCTTCCAACCTGTCACTCTTACAAATGCCCAGAGCCTTAAGAACTGTCAGCTAGAAATGATAAAGAAAGTACAGCGTGGCTCTATTATTAATACTCGCCTGACGGGCGTTAGTATGAAAACCTGTGGAGAATGAGGCCCCTCCCGCCACGTGTACGGCACAGTTCTTGCACTAAAGTTAAAGGGCCATGGTGAAGTCCAGTCCAGGTTTGCAGGGACTCAGAAATGAACCACGTGATTTAAAAGTGACCCAGAGCCTCTGACTAAGGAACGATAGAGAGGAAGAAAGCACCCTAGGGACAGAAGGGGCAGAGGCTTTTCTGGGTTCAGTCACCTTGCTAATGTTTGATATGGCTCCATTTCAAAATTCTCCAAATACTTCCAAGAGGGAAGTCCTCACTTCCTGTGTGGTTTGGAAATCCAGCCCTGTGAAGAATCTGCCAGACTGTGCCTAGCATCTGTACTCTGTTGCGGGGCCTGCCGTGCGGCAGAACGTCAGAGCTGACGGCATGTGTTCCTATAAAATGATCGCCAGTTTGTCGTACCCAACTTGACTTTTTCTGAGGAGATGTGAGCAGATGCCTCTGCCCCAGATGGAGTTCTGATTCAGACCAAAGAATGATTCCACCCAGATCTAGTTTAGTGACCCACCATGGAGGAAAGTTTTTTTCCTGGAGCCTGGGTGGCTCCCAGGTGGAAACCTCACCGAAGAGCTCACCGTAGCAGCAATAATTCACGCGAGCTGCATCACTGGTGCACAAACTGCAGGCGCCTCAGCCCACAGGCAGCTCAACCCACTGGCAGCTCCTTCCTCCACAACTGTTCTGCTTATGTAACCTTGTGGAGGACTCTTGGTGAATCCACTTCTAATTTTCTGTGCTTCTTGGGCCCTGTAAATTGCATGAAGCTTTCTCCTCCCTCCAAGAGGCTGGGCTTTATCTCCTAGGAAGAATAAGAAGGCTGTGGTGATATGTTGTTTGTGTTTTAACCAATAAAGCTTGCCTGAAGAGCAGAGCTTGCCACTAGTTAACCATAGAGGTAGCTCACACCTTTAATCCCAGCACTTCGAAGGCAGAGGCAGAGGGATCTCTCCGAGTTTTAAGGCTACCCTGAACCACACTAGATCAACCCAGCCTAAAAGAGAACCAGCCAGGCGGTGGAGGCTCACACCTTTGATCCCAGCCCTAGGGAGGTGGAGACAGGAGTGATGTGTCTGGGTGAAGAGAGAAATATAAGACAGGAACTAACAGGGCCACAGAGCGTTCAGTCTGAGCATTCAGTTTGAGGACTTGCAGAGGCAGGATACCCCATTCGGTCTGGCAATTTCGCAGAGCTAAGAACCAGTGGCTGGCTGCTCTGCTTCTCTGGTCTTTCAGCTTTCACCCCTAATAACTGACTCTGGGTTTTTATTATTAAGACCAGGTAGAATTTGTACTACAGCAAGCTGCTGCAGCCAGGCTCCAGGGAACCTTCACTCTTGGTCACTGCTTGTATTGCTTACCTCGAGTGTCCCTGCTACACCCTATGAGGCCATTGTGTCCCCTGTCATGGGCCTTTGGGTTCCCCTTTGCCTGGTCATTGCCGCTCATCCATCCTGTCTCTGACTTCTTCAGTTTTGAAAGTTGCACTTACTGTCAGTTAAACAGGTATCCGAGGTCTTTGTTTTTCTTTGGGGAATGAGGAATTTCTAGCAAAGAAAAATTTGGTCAGACAACACGTGATAACCCTCAGTTTCTGAGGCAACAGTGGCCCAGGGCTGAGCTGCCACCTCACTTTGATGCTGTTTTTGGGCAATAAAAGCAAGGGCCAGGAGCTGAACTTGATTGCTGTGTCTTCTGCGTGGCCGCAGCCTGGTGTTTCAGGCGTCCCCCTGGCCCTCACACCTGCGTAGGCTTCCCTGCTCGTCAAGACGGGTCCACAGTGAAAGGATGCTGAACGCATGCAGACGTGGCTTTGAGGACTCGGTCTAGCCTTTCCCCTGGAGCAGTCAGCATTGGAAAGGGCTTCCTAACACCAGCACAGTAGCTGTCAGCATTTTGTGAAAGAGCAGGCTGGCTCAGATGCCCATGGAGAGGTCGGCGTGAGGGGAAACGCGCACGGCTTTCACCAGTTGCTTGCTGCTCTAATGTCTAGCTGCACATTCCGTAGATGAGTGTTCCTCGCGGTGTCCCCCTGATATCTGACCCCCAGAGAAGCCGTATAGCATTGGCTGTGAGAACTTGATACAGACAGCGAAGGAAGCAACAGTAAATCCATTTTCCACTCCCAGAACATGTGCTTCATACTTGCCCAGTGACAATAAACTCACGCATAATTTCTACACACACGAGGCAGTCTGTGTGGCGAAGGACTGTGGGAATGTGGCTACGGTCACTCGGCGTGTCTCATCTGTCGTAGTATAACTCTCATTTTAACCCGTGTGTGATTGGGGGTCAGTTACCTGTTATGGGGGCACAATAGATTTCTCCGTAGGATTGGCCAGCGCCCGGGCCACTGTCACGGAATGTCTCTATATTTGTACTTAGGGAGCTAAAAGAGGAACGATTGTGTTACCTGTTCTCCTTCCAATTCATTTTCTCAAGTCAGCTGCCATGAGAACCTGAGCAGCCAGGCATCCTTTAAACCTCTTCACAGGGCGACCTTTTTCTTTTCACCCTCTGTAAGGTGATGCTCTTGAGAGTCTGTCGTGCTCAATTATTTGAAATATAAGCCTGTTAAATTTTCCATTTGCATTTAATGCATTCTGCTGCGAGATCGCAAGTACAGTAGGCGTGTGGCCCCGGGAAATCCTACCCGGTCAGGACCCACTAGACCATTGCAGCAGCACACAAGCATCTTGGCCGCAGGGACTGCCAGCTCTGGCCGCTTCGGCTTGGTTTTTTAGGAAATCTGACACTTAGCAGCCCCGGTGCAAACTGCTGCTGGCTGCCTGGGTTTATTTTTGCAACCCCACTTTACTGAGCTAGGTTGTGTTTGTTCGTAACTCTCTTTAGTCGTTCCTTCTCCCCCTTCACACACACCCTCAGTGCCCATTTACAGCTTCCAATGTGATTCTTGCATTTTAATTCTTTGCCCAAAATACCCTGGGAGATGATCATGTGTTAAACTCAGCTGCACTGACATGCGTTAGAGAAATATAATAAAAAGCTTTCCTTTTTATAGATTTTTTTAAATAAAGTATTTAGCATCATTAAGGGAACTGCGAAGAAATGTGCCCTTAGGGAGGGGGAGGAGAGGGTAGAGGGGACCGAGCTTGAATCTGGAGTAATCTGTTCTTTCCCTGATTTAACATTGAGCCTACCACACACTGGCATCTAAGATTTTGCTGCTGGCAGGGACCCCATCTTCTCATGGACTAGCAATGATGCTCAGAGACATTTGATTAAAAAGCGAGTTGTGGGTCCTGTTGTCGTGTTCAGCGTCCTCCTGAGCATTCACAAGCCATGCTTCTGCAAGTTCATGGATGCAGGCTCAAATTGGGTTTCAGAGATGCAACTGGTAAAGATGCTCTTTCAAAACCAGTCTGGGGAAGCTCCACCATGAGTAAATCCAGTCCTAGAAGCCGACCCAGGGCACTGGCAGATCAGGATTGAGCCAGCGACCTGACTCAGAGTCAGCAATCTCCACCAGAACCGGAGTGGGACAGAACCAGCTACCTAGGACAGAGCGCGAACAAGCTCCCCTGGGAGCAGAAGTCAGGAGCAAATCCAGTCTCAGGAGCCAACCCAGTACTGGGACACTGGCAGATCAGGGTTGAGCCAGTGACCGGATCCAGAGTCAGAGATCTCCACCAGAACAGGTTCAACTCCAAGCCAGAGACATCTGAAGGAGGGGATCCAGACCAGGATTTA